GTATATATATCAATGTGAAGTATTTGTACAATTTTCGATGTTTTGACAGAAACTACAATGAATAAAAATAGCAGGAAAAAAACTAAAAACTGCAGAATAATCAGACAATAACAAAAACAAAAAGAAAAACGAAAACCCAGAGCGGAAACAAGAGAAGAAACACCAATTTTGAAATGCCAAACTCAAAAATTTGCTTTATTTCCACAACTCTAGAGTTTGGCATTAAAAGTGTAGAGTTGGGACTGTCCCATCTTTTTTCCTGCAAAGTATTCATGTCTCTTTATCAAATTACATCATTCTATATAGTAAACCGAGTAGAACCGACCCTATATAGTAAACCGATCCTGATCAAACCGAACTTTTTTATTTACCAAATCGAACTGAAAAATTCGACATCATGATCCTTCCATTACCAGATTACTAGAAATTCGAACTAAGCAAACCTAACCAATCAAATATCTAATGTACAAAGCCTAATCGTTAAGAAAACCCACTCTACTATTTTCTTATTTGTTTGTTTGTTAAAGACTTAGACTATATGTTCCGGTCAATACTTTAATCTCACACGATGGATCGGTCAGTGGACTTTTGTTGAATAGTGAATGTTCGTGTTTTGGATATTTTATATATTCGAACCAATCCAAAGTTGCTGCATTCTAAAATGAAAATCTTCATGGGTTATAGTTGAATAAAACTTTAATTCCTACAAAAAGAATATTTTTACTATCACATTCAAAGTATATGATTACAAAATTAATTATTAGGATCAACTTCAAGGAAACGAACAAAAGAAAAAACAAACCCAACATGATCTACAATCGTCAACGCGCGTAGCCAGCTCATGATCAATCACATAACGCGCTTTTCCGTCGTTTTATCAAATTACCTCAACACTCTAGCCGATTTCATTGACTTCAACATCACCATTTGACTTCTCAATCTTTCTATAAGTAACTGATCACGGTCTCGTATCACTTTGCATGCATCTAAAACAAACTCTATCTACTTACTCAAAACACACTTGCGATCTTATCTAAAACACAAACCAACAAAAGGAAAAAATGGGTTTGGTCCGATTCTTTTGTTCGTTCCTAGTCTTCCTTAGTTGTCTCATCGCGGTTTATGGTCAAGGTACAAGGATCGGGTTCTACTCGACCACATGCCCCAATGCCGAGACGATTGTTCAGACCACTGTGGCATCTCACTTTGGTTCAGATCCAAAGGTTGCACCGGGGTTACTGAGAATGCACAACCATGATTGCTTTGTCCAAGGTTGTGATGGTTCAGTGCTTTTATCAGGACCTAACTCTGAAAGAACCGCTGGCGCAAACGTTAACCTTCGTGGTTTTGAGGTCATTGACGATGCCAAGAGGCAGCTCGAGGCGGCATGTCCTGGTGTTGTCTCTTGTGCTGATATCTTAGCCTTGGCGGCTCGTGATTCCGTTGCTCTCGTAAGTATACAAACTAATACAAATATCATACATAAGCAAATTAAAGAATTAATCTCGATTGTTTTAAATGCCAATATGTTGTGTTTGCATTTAGATATGAGTAAGAAAAGAGAATTAAAAAGGCAACACAATTTTTTTTTTTTTTTTTGTTTTATCATTATTTCTGTGTTTTGTGTTTACGTTTACAAATAAACTAGATTTTAACCCGCGGTACACCGCGGGGCTATATTTTCTTAAAAAAATCAAAATGTAATTTGTTTGATAGATTATTTTGATTGTTAATTTTAGAATTTCACCCGTGGTATACTATCTTTTATAAATATCAACCCAAACCCGTCCCATCATATTACCCGTCCCGTGAAATTAAACATCATTTAGTTATTTTTCTTTTTAATAATACTTTTATTTAAAAGCTATATAATTCAAGTCAATTTAAAAATTTCTTTTAAATGGTTCCCATAAGATATATATACATATATATTAAATTTGTATAGAGTTGAAATAATATTAATATTACAAACTTTTTATATAATTTAAATATTATAAATATTTTTAAAAATATGCAATATATATTTTTTGTTATTGAATAAGAGGATATTATGTGTAAGAAATGTAGAAAATAAGAGTTTAATATTTTTATTATGGAGTCGCAAGAAAAATCTTTTATTTCTATACATGTTATTCGTTTATTAATAATAAAAGAAAACAAATCCTTTAAATTAGATATTAACTAAAATAAACGCACCATAATTACTTATTAAGTAACAACCAATAAATTTCACCAAAAAATATGTAACAACCAATAAATTCTAAAGGCAGTAATTAAAGAATGAGATATTAAAAAAAAATATCAAATAAGATATAAGAATCTTAAAATAATTGAATATCTAAATAATTTAATTGTTAGTGTCGATTTTAATGCCTTCATTAATGTGGATTTTTTTTTTTACAGAGAAATATTTCCTAAAGATTATCACATTAATGACTCAGAAAATTAAGGAAGATATGAATTTATGATTCTCGAAATCGTGTTGGTAATATCTTTAATTAATATTTTTCAAATTTAAATAATTAATGTCAATGGCATTCATCCGTAAATACATTCCAACTCCAGGATTTATTTGCTAAAAGTCATCCAAAAATGTATATATATATAGATTTTTTGGTTAAATTACTAAAAGTTGTTGTATATTTGTTGAAAGTAGTTACATCCTACATGTTACAAAACTTTGATATTAATTAAAAACATATATATAATTGAAAATAGAGATATTTTTTATATATATAATTTTAGATTTAAAAAAATTTACATGCAACATTTAAGTTTATTTTACTTGGTGACATCTATAATATTAAATAAGTATTGGTTACAAAAAAAAGGTAATAACAAAAATAAGGATTAACGTTTTTGTTTGGCTTTGTGTAGACGAACGGACAAAGTTGGCAAGTTCCAACAGGACGTAGAGATGGACGAGTTTCCTTGGCATCGAACGTTAACAATCTTCCTTCACCAAGTGACTCTCTAGCCATTCAACAAAGGAAATTCGGCGCTTTTCGCCTTAACACTCGCGATCTCGTCGCTCTTGTTGGTAAGTAATCTATTAGAAATCAGAATAGTTCCAAATAGATTAGTGTTGTGCACTGCATCATGCATGGTTCATATAAATATAATCAAACTCGTATGAATTTAATAGGAGGACACACGATCGGAACAGCTGCATGTGGGTTTATCACGAACAGGATATTCAACTCGACCGGAAACACAGCCGATCCAACAATGGACCAAACATTTGTACCACAACTTCAAAGACTTTGTCCCCAAAACGGCGACGGATCAGCGCGTTTGGATCTTGATACGGGAAGTGGAAACACTTTTGACACATCTTATTTCAACAATCTCAGCCGTAACAGAGGAATTCTTCAATCCGATCACGTTCTTTGGACTAGTCCTACCACGAGACCCATAGTGCAAGAGTTCATGACTTCTACAAGCAACTTTAATGTCCAGTTCGCAAGTTCAATGGTTAAGATGAGTAATATTGGTGTGAAGACTGGGAGAAATGGAGAAATTCGTAGGGTTTGCTCTGCTGTTAATTAATCAGTGATTAAGGTTTTATGGCTAACTTGTTCAAAGGGTTTCTTTTTTTATAGTTTGATTTTAATTTTAAACCAATAGAATAAAAAGGATATGAGAGATACCCAAAAGTGGGTTGTTCATTATTTGTATTCCATTTCTTTCGGTTTGATTTGGTGGAATTAATAAGGTTTAATTTCGTTACATGAATATAATTGGTGTTTTATTTATTGTCAAGCTTCAACAATTGATGAGTTCAACCTCCCAGTTTGATAAGCCTACATTTCACCTATCGGCGAAACACCGTAACACGGAGTACTTTCAGGTCGAGATGTTTCCGTCAGCCTTCCTCAAAAGACCGTTCTCTTGATACTGATTTATACATACATAAATCATTGTAACACTATACTAGTCATCATGGGGTCCCAACACACATATATGGGAAGTATGGAAGGATATAGTAATCAGCATAATCATAGTTAGGTAGGGTTGATACTCGTTTGCATATAATCCATTCCATATGCCCAAACAATCATTCCTATTCCTATTCAATTTTTATACTAACCGATCACAAGAACCAAATCCAATATTCGATATGGCTGAGCACGATCGATCTTCCTTTGATTATAACAATATCAACCCTCTTGGTTGAGCACGACCAAACCTTCTTTCCCAAAATAAAATTGCATTTAATTACAATAGTTAACGGTTCAGTATCACAAACCAGCCATTAGAATGCAAACTCCACCGTCGAATACAAAGATTGCCGAGTCACAAAGCTACCCTAAGAGTTTCGGCTAGTCTTATCAAAACATAGATGAGCCTCTGCTCGGTGTACTGAAAATTGCGTGAGAACCGGGTTTTCTCTTTCTCTCTTCTTCTCACGGTCTTTCTATCACTGTATAGTGTATAGAGTTTTTGATTTCGTGTGTGAGAACTCAGAGGCATATAGAAGAAACCTTATAAGGCGTGACCATCTCACACTATTTGATTTATTTTGTGTGGGAGACTAATGTGCCCTGTATCCCTCATAAGGCATATCCCTTAGTATAATTAGTTTTCCTAACTTAGGCTTGATTCCTGTTTCTAGCTACTTGGTTTAGACCCGCCAATACTATTGAGAACCCCACAGTCCAAGACTTGGTGTACTTGATTCCTAATAACTAGAGATCGCATGACAACAAAGTGAAACTGGTTGCAAAAGGGTTTCTCTAAGTACTGTACAAGGTGAACATTACTCAGATATGTTTGCCTCTGATTAAAAAGTATTGTATTATTCGACAAAATCTTACAATTAAAGAAGTTGAGGAAATAGTACCACCAAGAGTTTGAGCTGAAGTCAATGAGAATGAAGAACATGTACAAATTTCGAAAACAAAAAACATTATACGGTCGGAAATAAACAACAAGACGTGATATTTTCTTCAACAAAGTTTCCATATGATTCCAATTCATGCAAAAAACACATTGTGATATTACACGAAATGAATCATCATAATCATATAAGGATATAAAAGTAAATCATAACACAAACAATAGATAGATAACGAAACAGAGTAGCACCAGTTACATGGTGACCCAATACAACTTCAAGGTCTTATTATGAACCAGTACAAACTCAGACTCTGCAGTAATACAGAGATTCAAACAAACACAACACCAACATCGAAAGATATTATGTAGAAAGATATGTGACTTAGCTCTTTATTTAGTAGTTATTTGAAGCTAGGCAAACACACTTTCTCAATACACTCTCAAGTACTGAGAGGTTTTAGTCATCGTCTTCATCACGACGTCTCTGGTGGTGATGCTTGTAACGGTGCTTCTTCTTCTCCTCATCCTCATCAGAGTCATTGTCACCCTGTAAATTTTGTATAGAGATGATTAAGTTAAGAAAAAACAGTATCATTTGTAATATTCTATAAAATGACATCGATTCAATCAAATATCCTACAAGCTGTCCAAATTCAACCAAATACCGAACCAGGGAAGTCATATGGGATCCTAGAACTAGCTTTTGATTCAAGCAAACTCAAGAAAATCCTTTTCAAAATGTGAAGCAGAGAGATAATTGTTGACATGTATCCAGACAGAGACTTTAAAACAGGGTTCTTCGTAATGTATGTTCATAGATAGCTAGATCATGAATGAAGATAAAATTATCGCTAAAGATATAAACTTTAAACAAGGTTCTTTATAACGGACGTTTATAGAGATGGCTAGATCATCAATGAACCTGAATTCATCACTAAAGATATAAACTTTAGATGATTAGATCACTCTACACTATGATCAACAAAGGGTTTTAACCAATCAAACTTATTTTCCACACAACTTAAATCATCAATGAACATGAATCATCACAAAGATATCAACTTTAGATCAATATGGAGATCGATCACTCTAAACTATGATCATCAATAAAGGGGTTTAACCAATCAAACTTATTCTCCACACAATCTAGATCCCAACTATGGAAAGTTCACTAAACAAAAAAAGGTTCTTCAACTTACATATTTCTTGCGGCCATAGCTCCCTTCCTCATCATCACCAGAACCAGAACGGTTCCTACGCTGCTCATCATCATCATCGTCATTTCCACGGCCATAGCTAGGCTTCCTGTAACTCCCCTCTTCCTGCTCCTCAGACCTCCCATAGCTAGGCTTCCTATAACTTCCTTCCTCCTGTTCCTCAGATCTTCCATAGCTAGGCTTAATGTAACTCTCCACCTGATCCTCAGACCTCCCATAACTAGGTTTCCTGTAACTTCCTTCCTCTTCCTCAGATCTTCCATAGCTAGGCTTCCTATAACCTTCCTCTTCTTCCTCAGATCTTCCATAACTTGGCTTCCTATAACCTTCCTCTTGTTCTTCAGATCTTCCATAACTTGGCTTCCTATAACCTTCCTCTTGTTCCTCAGATCTTCCATAGCTAGGCTTTCTATAACCTTCTTCTTGTTCCTCAGACCTTCCATAGCTAGGCTTACGCTCATACTCAGTCTCCGATCTCCCACCATATCCAGATTCAGGTCTCCGACCATACTCAACCTCAGTTCTTCCACCACCACCAGATCCATACTCCGATTCAGTCTCCGTCCTTCCACCATAACCAGATCCATAACTCTGTTCAGGTCTCCGACCATACTCCACCTCCGTTTGTCCACCGTATCCAGATTCAGTCTCCGTCTGACCACCATAACCGGATCCATACTCCGATTCCGGTTTCCTCCCATAACCGGATCCAGATCCATAACCAGGATTTGGTCTTTCACCTTGAACATGGCCACCACCACCTGAATCGGGTCGAAATGCGGGTCGTGGCTTGGGTCGAGAATAGCTACTGTACTCAGTGTTAAGAGCTTCATCTCCGTAAGCAGAAGGCTCATGGATCTGAGTAAATTCAGGTCTCTCGTATTCGAAATCATCATCGACACCAGATGAGAGAGGGTAACAAGTCTCATCGGAAGGTGGAATCGGACGGCCGTAAATCACCGTGATGTCGTAACCACCACTGTACGGCGTTGGATCAAACTCATCGAAATCGTCGACATCGTCTTCGTCTCTTGTGTAGTACGGCATCGTTTTAGAAGAAGCTTCTCTGTGTTTTTTACTTTTTCCTTGGATCTAATCAAAATGATAAAATGAGAAATTTATACGCAGAGGAAGATGATGAAGAAGACGAAGAGTTTAAAAACGCTGCGTTTTGAATTATTAATTGTGGATCCCATTTTCCTGGTGTTTACATGGAGACCACTACGATTCGGGAAAGCTGTGCCACGTGGCTTTATCTTAATTGGTATAAAAGCAATTTGATTGTACCGATTGCCGACGGATCGAACCGGGAGTGGGCAAATGTATGATTTATAAGAAATTAAGGGACTATATTACAAATAGGAATATAATTTATGAATTAGTGTTGTCTTGATTTTGTTGGTTTATGATTTTGGAAAAGAAAAAAATGTGTCTCATATTTTTTGGTTTATGGTTTTTCCCTTTTAAATTTAGGTTTATTTGTAGATTTTAATTTCCTTTTTGAGTATTTTTTTTAAGGCTTGTATATATTATATTTTAATTATTTATAAATTATAACCATTTTTTACCTTTTAAAAAAGAAAAAAGTCTTTTGGGCTATTTTTAAACGGGAAAATCCCATAAAGAACCTTCAAAGTGACACCAACTCCCACTTTAAACCTTTAAAGTTTTACACTTCCATTTTAATACCACAAGGTAAAAACATTAGCAACATAATACCCCAAAATAGCTTATATATTCGTGGTCCCACAATATATAACGGAAAGAAAATTTCCGGAACAAATAACAAGAGTTACTCCGTTTGATTTATTGTCCATGTGCTTGATTTTTTTAATTAAGAGGGATAATTTAAAATTAAAAGGGATAACTAAAATAATAGAAATAATAAAAAATAATAAAAAGGTTAAAGTAAAACCCCCAAATCGTTGGGATCTAGGTTTCATGAGAAAAAAAAAAAAAACAAAAGAACAAGAGAGGGAGAGAGCCGGCCGTGAGAGAAGAAAGAAGAATCCAAGAACGTAGGTCGGCCATTTCAAGTGTTTGGCGACAAGGCGTATGATATGTCTAACAATGACCCTCAACGTCCATGACTTTGAATGTTTTTGTCTTTCAATTTCTGTTTTGGGATTCATAGTTTTTGTTATCAATTTCTGGGTTTTGGGACAAAGTCTGTCTTTTGATGTATGTTCCGTGAACTTCCCGTATCTATGAATGAAGTTTTTTTTTTTTTTTTTCGGCAAATCAAATATATTGATATCATAAAAGTTTACAAGGTACATAATAGATACAAAACAACCATTGTACGCAAATGTATGAATGAAGTTTATTATTTTAAAAAATTTTCTTCTTTTTTCCTTTTTAATTTTAAATTATTCCTTTTAATTATATAAAGTCACGTTTGATTAAAAAAATACTCAAGAAAACAGATTTAATCAAACAGAGGTTAATGGTGTTAAGTGTTCTGTTAACAGATTCAAAAATTCTGTTAAATATTGTGAGCCTACAAATATATAAGTCATTTTGGGGTATTATGTTGCTAATGTTTTTACTTTGAGTTATTTAAGTGGAAGTGCAAAACTTTTAAGGTTTAAAGTGAGAGCTGGTGTCAATTTGAAGGTTTTTTGTGGTATTTTCCCATTTTTAAACAAATCTTCACTGTTTGCTTCTACTATTTATGTCGATAAAGTATAAACAAATCTTTGGATAATGAATACAACTAATTTATTTCCACAATATTTATCAGTGGGGATGGTTTATGTAAGCTAGATATAACCCTAATTTATCATCTTTCTTCTTCACTGCTTGCTTCTACGTACTATTTCCGGCGACCATGATCTCCGAAGTTGAACTACCGCAGAAAGAGAAGAGAAATTTGAGTTCTGAACCACCGTCGTTTTCATCGCTCCCAGACGAAATCATAGAGAACATTCTTGCACGTATCTCTAAATGGACTTACCCTAATCTCTCTCTCGTCTCCAAAACATTCCTCTCTCTTCTCTCTTCCCCGCAACTATACAAGACGCGATCTCACATCGGAACCACCGAACCATGCCTCTATCTCTGCTTAAAACTGCGTTATGATTCATCTCATCCCCAATGGTTTACTCTTTGGATGAAACCTGATGAAAACCTCACCAGTAACGGCGAGACTATGCATGACTATTCGTTGATTCCGCTACACTCTTCTTCCTATTCTTCACCCGTACTATATAAGAATTCCACCGTATCTGTTGGTTCGGAAATCTACGTAATCGGTGGACTCCTCCAGGCTCCGTCTTCTTCTGTTCGGATCCTTGATTGTCGGATTCACATGTGGCGTGATGGGCCTAACATGACGGTAGCTCGATCCGAGCCAACCACTGTTTACCTCGATGAGAAAATATATGTCATAGGAGGTTGCAAGAATGATGAGTCTACCAATTGGTTAGAGATATTCGACATAAAGACTCAGTCTTGGAGAGCTTTGCCTGGTCCTGTTACTGATCAAGAGTTACGTTGCAAATATATTAATGTCCCCGTTGCTTTTAAAGGAAAGCTTTACGTAGCGGCAGAGACAAAAGACTACACTTACGAGCCCAAAGATGGTACATGGAATGTCGTAAGAGAGAAATCGATATTCAAAGATATAAGACATTGGTGTGTGATAGAGGATGTAATGTACTCTTGCACTTACGTTGGGTCTTTAATGTGGTATGACTTTGAGGGTAGAGAGTGGAGAGAGATCAAGGGTTTGAACGAATTTAATGTCGGCCTTACATGGTATTTAAAAAAGAGGTCTGTCCATGGAATAGTTAACTATGGTGGGAAACTTGTAGTTATATGGAGGCAGTGGTATAATGATGACGGCAAAGGATGGAATACTAAAGTTGAGTTCTCTAAGATTGCATTAGAGAAGCGCCATAAAGATGAGATTTGGGGTAAGACGGAGTGGGTTAATACTGTGCCTGAGATCCCCAAGTCATATTACTCCTTAACTTGTGTAGGCGTGTAGCTGAAATTTGGAAGTTATAGGTAATGTTGAGCGGGTTAATGTTTCTCGCGAGTCATAAAAATTCGTTGCATTGTCGTTCTTTTTAGCTTTGAACGTGTTATATATGTTGTTCTTTTTACATTGGTTATTGTGCTTTTTTTCATTTGAAGAATTTGACTTGCAAGTGAAGTTAATATTATAATCTTTAACAAAAAATAACTTATCACTGGAAGAGTCTGAATTGGAATTGCAAGAATGTATTATATAGGACACTAGATAGTCGTCTTTAAGAGATAGCCTCTATTTCTGCTTGGAATAGTTAGGTATGGTATCTGGAGCAAGACAGTGAAGAAGGGAAAACTGAAATTTGGTATGCTAAGACTGCCTTAGAGAAGCAAAATAAAGTGGTATGCATCAACAGATTACATTTGGGTAAGATGAAGTGGGTTAATTCTGTCCATACAGTTCCCAGGTTGTGTTACTTCTGCTTCACTTGTCTGGCCGTTTCAATTTGATGATTTGTAAATGATGGTATAAACAACATTATGAAATCATCCCGTCTTTGTTCTTTGAAGCAACATTTTGTTGTTGTTTTTAGGGTAAATTGCATGTTATGGCAGTTGACCAAGTTTTAATTTCAAGTTTTGGCAAACTGAGAATGGCCTTTCATGTTTTGACATTTTGGCGAAAATCTGACCATTTTACCCCTACCAACGGACCGATGTACTGTTCACTGTACGGTTCAGTTAAGCGGTTCAGTTACGTACACTGTTCCGGTTAAGCAATATATTTCGTTCTTAATTGATTTGTGCGGGAGTACAGTGACAAGTTGGGATTAAAAACATTAAAACACAATGAGACATCAGTATTTAATGCCCAAAAAGTTTAGACATGACTCATGTCACAATTAATGCAAAAGTCATCATTACTTTTTCTAATATTAGTTTATATGCGTGAATAGTTGTAAGAGACAAACATGATCCATGAAACAAACAAATTTTTCTGAACGAATGTGATTCTGCATCGGTTTGATCTTCTTGATTTACAAAGTTTGGAGCCAAGACAAGCATTGAACGTGTAAGTAATGAAATTGGTTAAGAAGTTTTTTGTTTTAACACACTAGGGTCTTGATTGTGTGCTAAGATCAACATTGTTTTTATATAAAAACCCAGAATATTTTTATTTCCACTTTTTTTAGTTGAAATTGCTAAATGAGGATAGATTTATGTTTATAAGTGTGTAGTTGGGAATTCTTTTTGTTTTTTGTAGATATAATCATGCTTTCATTTGCATTTAATGGGGTTCTGCTGAATTTATGATGCAGGTTGGTAATGGATATTCCCGTATTTACTATGGTGGGTGAGTGAAAATGCAAAGAAGAAGAATGGAAATTTGAACCATGGGAAGGCTGGTTTGGTCGTTGTGTACGTGTTAGGCAAAACATGACGTACACGGCATTTGTACGTACATTATGCGAGGTTTTCAGTTTGAAGTGCACTGAATGCAATCCAATAATTAGTTACTGGATGCCGGGAAAGATGTCAGTGATGATAGAAAGTAAACGCCCTCCTGTATACATTGACAATCAAATGAACCTGGATACATTCTTTTTGATTCGTGGTGGGGATCCTAGTGTCACCTTGTTTGTCTCTTTCATTACAACCGTCAATACTGTCCCTAGGACCGATGGTGAGAGTTACCGTGTGTGTGGGAGTGCAACGACACCAAATCCCATCCTAGCGGCTTCAAATGTAGATGGAAATAATGAGGCCGTAGATGAGCATGACGACGTTGAAGACGATAAAACAGATGAGGATGAAGAAGAGGAGGAGGACAACGAAGATGGTGCTGGGTATGATGATTATCAGGGTGATGATGGATCTATGGGGGGAAGTACCCTCGATCCTACTATAGACGGTAGTGAAGGCAGTGGCGAAGATTACGATTACAACAAGTGGAACGATTTAATTATTGAAGAATATGGAATAGGGAATGTTGAGGAGGACGTCATTCTCACTCAACAAACGGTTCAACATCCAGGGGAATTCAGTCGTCTATTGGCAGAGTGTACGTACACAAGTCATGGAGGAAATAACTCGGTTGACCGTACACCAACGGTGACTCCAAGACGTACGTGTCAACATGGTTTGTACCAATGTACGTACACAACAGAATGTGTACAAGATACAGGCAGCAAAGGTAACACCGATACCAATATTAATGGTATAGACGATGTCTCTGGGGATGATGTTATCGACCGTGGTATTGGAGATTCCCCAAGTGGGACACTGAATGATAATCGGCTAGTTACTGCACCTGGCGGAGATAACATTTCTCATTCGGGTGACCGTACACCAACGGTGACTCCAAGACGTACGTGTCAACATGGTTTGTACCAATGTACGTACACTACAGAGTGTGTACAAGATACAGGCTGCGAAGGTAACACGGATACCAATATTAATGGTATATACGAAGTCACTATCGACCGTGGTATTGGAGCTTCCGCAAGTGGGACACTGAATGATAATCGGTTAGTTACCGCAGCTGAGGCTTACGAAGTGTATAATGACTTTTCTACATTACATGGTGGCGAGTTGGAGATTCTCGATAATGATGCTACTCCGGTATTCGATGATTTAGCCAATTTACGAGATGATGAGACACAAGTCGAACTGAGTACGACAGGTGAGACTTTGTATGTCGGGAGTGTTTTTATGAACAGAAAAGTCATACAACAAACAATGTCTTATCTCGCAATCAAACAATGCTTTTGCTACAAGCAACGTAGGTCATGTCCTACAAGATTGGAGATGGTCTGCGTTGATGATACTTGTCCATGGCATTTGACAGCTCAAGTTGTCAAGAATTCAGAATGTTTCAAAATCACATCGTATGATACCACCCATACGTGTGACATCGACACTCGTAAGAATTATAATAAACATGCTAGTTATAAGCTTCTCGGAGAGGTAGTGAAGAGCAGATACAGTTCTACGCAAGGGGGTCCGAGAGCTGTCGATTTACCACAGTTGCTCCTAAATGATCTCAATGTTCGGATTTCATATTCTACCGTTTGGAGAGCTAAAGAGGTTGCAGTGGAAAATGTAAGGGGGGATGATATAAAAAGTTACAGGTTTTTGCCTACCTATTTGTATCTTCTTAAATTAGCTAATCCGGGTACGATAACTCACCTACACTCTACACCTGAAGCTGATGGTACGCAGCGCTTTAAGTATGTTTTTGTATCTCTCGGGGCTTCTATAAAAGGTCTGAAGTATATGAGGAAGGTAATTGTCGTAGATGGAACGCAGCTAGTAGGACGTTACAAGGGATGTCTCCTCATTGCATGTGCCCAAGACGGGAACTTCCAAATATTTCCAATAGCGTTTGGTGTTGTGGATGGTGAGACTGACGCTTCATGGGTGTGGTTCTTTGATAAATTAGCTGACATTGTTCCAGACAATGAAGATTTAATGATTGTATCGGACAGACATTCTTCAATATATAAAGGCCTCAGTGTGGTTTATCCGAAAGCTCATCATGGTGCATGTGCAGTACACCTTGAGCGAAATATCTCCACCCATTATGGTAAGTATGGTGTATCTGGATTATTCTTCAGCGCTGCTAAAGCTTACAGAGTGAGAGATTTTGAAAAATACTTCGAACAGTTAAGGGCTAAGAGTGCTGCATGCGCAAATTACTTAGAGGAAATTGGATTTGAGCATTGGACAAGAGCTCACTGTTGGTGTCGGATCCCGCACCAGAAGTCCGCGACCAACCAAAGATTGCCACGTAGTCAAAATAATGGCCCATAAAGGATGAAGCCCATTGGACCCATGGGCCGAAGGAGCGGTCGAAGTGGTTGTCACTACCTCGAGAATCCGAAGTGACTGCACTGTGACACGAGTTCGGTGTAGAAGACACGGGTAAGCCGGCTCAAGGACACTTGGGCCAAAAAGGCGAGGCCCATGAAGATCAGAGTCAACTCAAAATTCAAACGTTGAGCATTAAAGTCAAAGAATCAAAACGGACACATTTAAGAAGGAATAATTGTACTTAATTACTCATTTTAATGTCGTTTCTCTATGTATAAATATAGAGGCCAATGGCCATGTAAGGGGGATCTTCCTCTCAAGAGAGAAATATTATAGCAATTTTCGTAGCAATTCACAAGTTTTTATACATTCATTTTTATCCCTCAAGAATAATCTTTCCCACTTAATAAAATACTTGAGTGTGTGTGAATCCGACATCCACACTCACTGTAAAGGGGAACGCTACAATATCATGTCTAGCAACAATTCGGAGTCTATGAATAATGTCTTAACAAGAGCCAAATCATATCCGATTGTGTACATGATAGAGTTCATTCGAGAGGTCCTAATGCGATGGTTCGCAGCGAGGAGGCAAAAAGTGGCTAGGTGTAAGTCTTTAGTGACGCCTGAGGTTGATGAGCGTTTTCTCCAAGATTTGCCTGCGTCAGGGAAATTAGCGGTTAAGATGTCTGGACCGTGGAGTTATCAAGTTACAAGCAAGTCAGGTGAGCATTTTCATGTCGTTCTGGACGAGTGTACGTATACGTGTCTTAGGTACACAAAGTTGAGAATCCCATGTGAACACGGTCTAGCAGCTGCAATCGAGTTTGGAATAGATCCGAAGGTTGTTGTAGGATGGTGGTATGGACTTCAAACGTTTTCCGATTCTTTTCAAGAACCGATTCTACCTATCGCGGATCCGAAGGATGTTGTCATCCCACAACATATATCGGATTTGATACTAATTCCTCCATACTGTAGACGACCACCAGGAAGACCAACAACCAAACGGATTCCATCTAGAGGTGAAAACCGGGTAAGTGCTATCATTCAAACGTGTACAGATTTTTCAAACATTATGTTTTTAGTATAAGATACGTAGATTATTAACTTATTGTTGTTGTCATTTCAGAAAAAGAGACAGAAAAGACTTATTCCGAATCAGTGCACACGATGTAGACAAGCAGGTCATAACAAGAAGACTTGCAAAAATCCTATTTAGTTCTCCTCATAAGCTTTATGTCTCCGCGATGACAGTATACGTTTATGTGTGGACAGTGTGTACCAAAGTGTTGTGACGGTGTACGTACGTTTAATGTTTGCCATCGTATAACTATGTACGTTTTCTGAGTGTACGTTTTTGTTAGTGTACGTGTTTGTTGTGTCTGTGTACGTATAATCTTCATGCAATAAACGGTTACAAACGGTTACACACTTTTGTATCTCAACCGTTGGAACACTTTCGCACTACCCACCGCGTCCGTTACGGAATTTCCTTATTTAAGCCACATCTCCTCCTCAATTTTATCCACGTTCCTTCAAACGAAAACCCTTTCACATTCGGCAGTTACATCAATCAAACACAAAGTCTTTCGATTGTTCTTGCTAACCGTGTGATGGACGGGTATCACACCATCTCCGAATTGTGTCCTCAGATCACTGGGTGGACAATTTGTGTATTTGTCGTGAGAGTGTTTAAGAAGTTTGTTGCGCCCAACATCTTCGAACTCGGCCTTATCTTGGCAGATAATTCGGTAGTTTCCCTGTGC